TCTCAGAATCACCGCCGACTTTATTCTCTATATGTGTATTGATGGGCCAAGTTCAGAATGGGATCGATCGGCCTCACGAGGGGGGGGGGGAGGGGGGACACAGGGGGCGGGAGGCAGAGAGCGGGGAGGAGAGGGGCCGGCCGGGCCGAGCCGGGCGCTTACTGCCCCGCCGCTTCCTGTTGCCCGCCTTCTCGCTCAGGCACGCACCTTCTCCTCCTCGAATGTGCCATGTCGTGCATCAGAGGCCCGCCTAGCCAGCCGGACGGGCTCCGTCGCATGGGCAAGCACATGCCAAAAAAAAAAACAACAAGCACATGCACCTAAAATATCGCCGGCCGATGGCCCTCCGTCAAAGGGAGACCATTGGCTCTACCTCGAACGGCAGGGTTCCCGTCTCGGCCGTCTGGGCATCGTCCTTGGCCTTTTTCTTCGTCTTCTCCTTCTTCTTCGGAGCCGCCTTGCGTTTGGATGCCCGCTTCTTGGTCGCCGGGGGAGGGTCGTCACTCTCGACTGGCAGCTCCTGCGGCAAGTCGTTGCCCAGCACCTCCCACTCTTCGCCGGAGAATGCCCCCCCATCCGCCGACACCAGTGGCCCAGGGGAGGGGGGGGGGTCTGCGCGCGCGACGCCCGTGACCGTAACAACACCGACACTCTCATCGACAGCTGGCTTCGAAGTTTGGCGTCGCTTGCCGGCCGCCGCCGAAGCCTTGCTGCTCGTGCGCTTCTTTGCCGGCTGAGCCAGTGCCATGAAAACCTGGAGCTCACCGCTCAGCAGCCGCTCAAAGTGCAGCCCCGGGAGGACTCCACTCCGCATGCGTGTTGCCGAAGTAACCACCTCCAGGTCCAGGACTGACATGGCAAATAGCCAGCGAATCAGTCGCCCCGCCGCGTCTTTCGTGCGCAAGGGACTCTTCTCGCCTTCCTCCATCAGCCGCTGCTCATGGCGTTGCTGGAGGATCACATACAGCCGGTCTGTCAGTTGCCGGATCGACAGGGGCTGACGCCTCTCAGACCCGAGAACTGGTGTTTTTTTTTTTGCCAGATGTAAAGTTAGAGCCAAGCCGGATCCGGTCCAATTGTGACAGCACCTCAAAAAAGCAAGAGAGTGTCGGGAGGGGGAGGAAAAAAAAGGTCGAGAGAGGCAGAGACAAAGACCAAGGAGGGCGCGGAGGGCGCGATATGGCCCACGGCATGGGTGAGCACGCACTGATATTGGCCAAGAGCTGGGCCTCTTCTGTGCAATCGACCCTGGCGAACTGCTTGCGACGCTGGCAATTGTCACAGAGGCCACCACACTCCTGATTATCAAATGTTTGGCCATAGTACTGCGCGCGCGCGCGCGTGTGTGTGCGTGTGTGTGTGTGTGTGTGTGTGTGTGTGTGCGTGCGCGCGTGCGTGTGTCCGCCGGCACATTTGTAGATGTGTTTGCGGGTGTCAATGGAGAGCACGCTCAGCAGGGCCCCCACACATAGGAATCCCGAGCCCAATCCACCTCCATGCCCAAATGGGGGCACACGTACATTGAGGATCAGCTCCCGCCGACAGGTAAAGGGATCCTCACAAAAGGCGATCACACGGCGAAGGAGCTCTCGGTTTCGGAGGGCCCCCCTCTCCGGGGGGATGGTCGGCTCAGCCATAAAGTGAGCCCGGTCGGCTACCAACTCGCGAGTCAACACGGGCGTGATGATGCTCAACTCCTCCTCGTCCTGGGCATCCTCCATGATCCAGGCCTGTCTTGTGATGTCGAAGAAGCTGTAGAAAAGGATGCACTTGCCGCCAAGGCCATCACGCCCGGCACGTCCGGTTTCTTGCTGGTAGGCATCCAGAGACTTTGGCATGGTCGAGTGGATGATATACCGGACATCCGGCTTGTTGATGCCTAGACAGGTGGATGGAGCAGCCCCAAGGAAAGCATGTCAGTCAAAGGTGTGTGGCACATTTTGCACAGGAGGCGGACAGGGAGTCATATGGGTGATCCCCCCCCCCCCCCCCCCCCCC